ATTCAATACGAAAACTGAGACTCGAACGAAGGACACTTTCGGTTGGAAAATTATGATATCGATAAAATTGCATAAAATTAAAAAGAGGATATTATGTTCAGTAATGATTTACTTTAATTTTTTTAATCTGGAATATTTTGAACGGAAAACTGACCCTATCTTGCGTTGTGATTTTTTTTTTGCATCATGGTTTATTTAAAGTGGAAAATCGTGACCAGATTTTCAATTCTGTGTACGAATTTTGGAATCGAAGAGAAGCGAACTTTTCTCTTTTTTACTACTACTCGAGATCTCACGTTCCTCTTTCAAACGTTTCTCTACTCGTCTACGACTGTGTCAGGACGTTATTGCCTCGTTTCCTTTGAAATTTAACGCAAGAGACTGGTACTGAAGTTTCCAGAATTTAAGCTCTCGACATTTGCATGCAATTTTCTTAAGAATATCCGACTAAACTTGAGTCGAATTCTATACGATCGATTTTAAGAAGTTCAATTACACATTCGTTGCCTATAATTGTTTCCCAACATCGATAAATCTATCCCAGGAAAATAATTAAGCCGTTTTCACAGTGCCCTGTTAAAAATCAAAATTAGAAAATGAATTCCTATTTAGTATTTATTTATTGCCTAATCACAATTAATTATACCTGATGAATAACTTTTTCCCCGAATTCTCGCTTACAAATTATTATACAATTTTATAAAATCGATTCTGTAATTTTAATATTTCAAATGAAGTGTCATTTAAATATTAATCACGCATTAATAAGCGAGCAGGCGCAAGTTTACTTTTTCCACCGAGTTGTTATTTACTCGATATTAAAATTATTTTTCACTGCGTATAATAATTTGTTAATTAGCTCGCGTTTAATTTGGAATATTTTTTCCAACGTCATCCATACAAATTCATCGAGCTGAAATTGAGTAAAGAACGGTCTGGCTAACTCGCTGTAATTAAAAAGTTAATTTAATTACAAACGTGAAGGTATATCGACAAATTAATCGCCGCGCGGTGCTGGTGACTTTGCGAATAAACTTTCGGAATAAAAATAGGAGCATTGCCGTGTAATAATCTGGTGACATTCATCAACAAATTTGAATTTAATTTAAACTGTATATCTGCGTAGAAATACGAGACGACAATTACCGTAACATTGAACATTTTTCATGTAATTATTTTCCCCGGCTGCCTGGTGAAAATTTAATAAAATTAAATAATTCAATTTATTGGCAGGAATATGTCCAAATAGTAATAAATAATACAATAAAAAAAAAATAATAAAATAAAATAATTATGGTAAAGAAACTTAAGAGTTTTGTTGCTCCGCCATTTTGTTTGATGTGATCCGCGCGCACATATCGAACAATATGACTATCATTCTGTGGTTTCTGAATGGTATCGAATATGTCGTTCAGATTTCATGGGTTTTAACATGATATTGCTTTACCAATATCATCCCATAGCATTGATGCGGGATTAAAATCTGGTAACTGAGCCCGTCACTTCATGACAGTAATGTCATTTTCATGTGAAAATTGTTTCGCTTCGCGGGAAATGTGTTTTGGATTACCGTTCGCTTGAAACGTCCAACAACCCTGGCGTAAAATATAACTCGCGTATAGCAATAATACGGTCTCCAAAATGCCCATACAAACACGTTTAAACTCGATTTCGAAGCTATAATCGACATCGCCATCGCTGACTCGAATCTGTTTTAAGAAATCTAAAACTTACTTCTTCCTTATCGAACTATCAGGAAATTTTTGGAAACAAAATTTTCCACTTCTTTTTACTGGAAACTCTTTCATCCAATTTACCCTAACGAGTTTGTTTACATACAATTAGTAAATACAAAGTAGTTGATCCTGTTGTGATTTGTAATATCTTCTGTATTTACTATTATTGATATTTAAAATTCTCCAGAATTTCTTCGAATCTTAGAAGTCGTCCAGCCAAACGACGCAGGAGCAGTCTCTTCCCTCGATTTTTCCGAGCGCTAGCTTGTTTTGTTTATTGGCGAATCGAAAGCCGAGGGCACGAAGGAAACAAAAATCGACGTAGATGTGGCGTGTGGTTCCTTTCCACCGAGCCCCTCAATTCTGAGCAATGGCGGTATGATATTCTCCGGGGCTCTCTCGAATCGCTTTTTCCCGCGAATAAGATGTCTCCGCGTCGACGTTTATAGAGTAAACCGACAGCGAGACAATCTCTTCCCTCCCATCTACGGTCGGGAATTTCCAAGACCGACGGCCCAGTTGTCTGAATTCCACTCATATCCGTCCACTGGGATGGACGGTAATCGCTTCCTGCGAGGAAGGGACACGAACTGTCCGACTTCAATTTTAATACATCCCTTTTGGCGTGCATAAGGTATCAGGTGTAGATACTCAACAATTTTTCAAATATAAATAATACAAAGTGGAACAGTTATAAGCCAGGACTGTATACAGGGTGTTTGGCTTTATTAGTTCCAGAGATATAGCGATTTTAATTTCGAGTTGATACGGTGGCTAGTTTCGAAGATAGGGTTTGTTTACGTTTCGTTGTTGCGCTCGGGAGTTCATTGACCTCGTGCGCGTGACAACAGTAAACAGTGCGTAGTAAATTCTTGGAAATACTACAAAAACTAAACGTATCAACAAAAATAAAAAACCATTTTAAAGGGGAGGCTTTGCCGCCTCAAGCAGTGCCTCAATAATTGATAAAGTTTAATAATAGTTTCGGAACTGCACGCGTCTGAAGTTTTACTATTTTTAATACGCATTGTTAGACTGTTCCAAGACGGTGGAAACTGAAGATTCTCTCCTTTGGTCTTTGCTATACATATGTTTCCTATTTACACCGGAAACTAACCAGCATTTGGTATCAAATTTTGTCCAGTTTTTTACAAAAAAATATAAATCGTTCGTGAAATGACCGGTCGTGGTAGGCAAAACGGATTACATATTTTTCTTAGAAAATAAGCAATAAGAATAAAAGTGAATATCGTGAAATTTATTGCACGTATGCAACAAGAAAAGTCGTGAAGTTAAATGGCGCTAAAATAATATTGCGTGTAAAAAATTCTAAAATTTTGAAAACGGTTATTTCACCGGTCGCGGTAGGTTTAATGTTAAAATCGAAGTGGAACAGTTCGTGTCCTTGCCTTGTTAGGTCAATCTTAAACTGCAGAGTTATACGCACGGACTCTCGGGCTACTTTAGTCCTCCAGAACTTAGAGGCGCACCTGCTAGACGCTATATCTCTGGAACTTCGAACTCGGTATCGCGTGGCCGACGGGGATAGAAAGAGCCAATTACACCTCGTTCCTACAGAATTGGACGAATACATACAAGGCGCTTAAGACGCCTTAACTACCCTAGGATTTGTACCGGCGTGCTCTAACCGTCGAGATTCGTTTAAGCGCCCTGTCCGGCCTGTCTCAATCACCGGTGTCTCGGCGTTGCACACTATACGAGTATGATTTCATCCTGCGGATAGAACTTGTCAGTGGCAAGACACGCTTCCCACGCTGCGCAGTATCCACGCCCAAAACCGGGAGAAAACTATCCCGAAATTCGATATTCAAACTCGCTTTGTTAATTTGCATCGAAAAGACAGTCTTAACCCTTTAATTGACCCCAAAATCTGGTCAAATATTTTTCTCTTTTTATCGTATTCTGTTCGTCGAGAGGGTAAAATGTGTCGAATTAACCATAAGCAAGAACACAACTTTCGAAAAAGAATGTTACTCAAACTCAGTTTATTATAAATGTTATTATAAAAATACATTACACTGTATACGTAAGAAATAATTCTACGAATAAATGTAAAAATGTATGACATGTTACTATCTTATTATTTATCGTACGGGTATCGTAAATATTAATAATATTATTTTCTACGAATGAAAATATAGTTCACGTGGATGAAATTCACGTAAAAGTCAAAACCAGAAGGACAATCAAATTTAAAAATATATCATAAGTATTGTATTGTATACATAATACATATTTTTTTTTAAGTAATTTTATATCAACTAGTTTATTGTTAAAATTGAATTATAATTTCATTAAAAATATCACAGACATCAACAAGAAAGAATATCAATAATTACGATTTTATAATTGTAACAATCGTTTAATAAATACAGTAAATAAATTTTTGAAAAAAATTCCTACGAACAACGTCCAACCGAATTATTTTCTTTCTGTTCCAGGCCCCGTCAAGCATCCCGACAGCGCACAACTTTTCGCGGAACTACGTAATCCGACGAAACACGAAGTTTGGACGGGCGAATTAACGGTCGATTAATGTGCTCTATGACACCCGCTTAATAGCCCGTGATCGAACACAGCGATGCACGCGAACAACTGCACGATTCCCCGCAAAAGCTTGATTTAAATGGACAGTCGAGAAGGGTCCATTTGTACGTTTTAATTCCCAACAGGTCGGAAGCGCGGAGACCAGCGAGGGGGTGGAAAAGAGGAATCGAAAAAACTCTGGCAGCGTCGTCTAACGTGTGGCGTACGAGCACGAGGATATGGGAACCGTGGTGACCAGCGACCGTTTCGAGTAACAGGAGCAAAGACGAATTCGCGACCGGTTCGGAATTATGATCAAAACGAATTCCGATCGACGTATGTAGGGAGAGCACGTGGCTTCCGCGAGGGTGTAAAAGCTTAATCCCTCCGGCGGGGAGGTCGATTCCCCCGCGATATTAAGACTCCAGGGGATCGAAATTACGGTGCACAACCGGTAAAACCGTACAAATGGATTCGACCAATCGATGATGCACGATTGTAAATCCTGGCTCGAAGCGGGCCCCGTGTCTAATGAATAATACAATTCCACCGGTCGCGTTGAATCCTCGCCTCTTCAGTCATCCAGGGAAAGGCTCCGGAATAGAATCGTAGAATCCTTATCGACTGGAAACCCCGCTATCTCCCCACTGGTGGAAACCCCCGGAGCGTCGTGACGCGCGCGTCGATCCGCGTTAACGGTCTAAGACAACAGTGATTACAACGTTCTGGCGAGGATCGCGCGTGCGACGAATGGGAACCCCGGACGCGCACGATCCACGAACGAGATCCACGCTGAAATCGGCGAAGGGATAAATGCTACTGCTGCCGCTGGATAGGGATGCAACGTCGTTTCGCGAATTAGTTATGGTTCTGGATGGTGGCACGCGGGGATAAACCACGAGGAGAGAGCGTGACAGTGATGTGGGTGTACCCGGGATCCTCGTTTCGCAGTTTCCTACGGTCTTTGTGAATAACTGATAAGGAGGTCGAGGTGCGCGAAAATCCGACGACGGGGTTTCTTGGCGGAAGAACGAGGATACAGAAGCGGCACACGGGACGAAGAAGAGAGCGACAGCATGAAGGACCATCCTGGAAGATGGTTGTACGTTGTGCTGCCGTTGATCACGTTCCTTTCGCATCAGACCGGTAAGTTTGTTGTTCTATTTAGGCGATATCGAGTATCGCGTTTGCAGAGCTTCGAGAAAATTTTCGCGACGGAAGTTTGCAAACGTTTCGGAGGAAGATATTTACTCGTGCTTTTGATTATATCGAACACCCCTAGCAGGGGGAGTGTGGGGTAGCTAGGATGGGTTGGTTTCTTATTTTTCGTTCGTTTTGTATGCCCATTTTCATAAACTCACGATAGCAAAAAAGATTCATTTTATTTTCTTACAAACTCAACCAAGCTCCACGGTTCATATATTTGTTGTAACTTCTTAACAAAGCATTTATGGATTTTTTACTATATAACATTTATTCTTAGTTTTACTTGTAGAACACATTGCTGAAGAGTGTACAGAAAAATGCGGAACACCCTGTATATATTTTGAGGTTAGTTTAGATCGAGTCATCAACAGTCGTTATTTTCAAAAAAATCTCATTTGCGAATAACGACGATTAACTCTGATAATTTTTATCTATAAATATTGAAAAAGTTGTTTCAAGTAACTCGTGAAGAGAATATTCGATATAAAAATGTCCAGAACTATAACCTATGCAAAATCAAAATTGGCGTACGATACTCGAATGAACTTTGTTATTTACGAACGAGATCACCGCATATTTCTGACGAGTGATATTTGTTTCAATTACGAATTTCCCAAAGTGAGCGAAAGCATCCCTCAGGGACTCTAGAGTCTTTAATGGTGACGTTGAACCGGCAACAAATCATAGGAGGCGTTTAGGTACATTAGGGGAGTGTTAACATTATGAGACAAATGCCATTACTGAAGCGTTTAAGATTAATTTTTAATGTGAAAATTTTGAATTTGTTAACGTTAATAAAATTGAAACAGCTCACGTTGCTCGTTAGAGAAATACGGAACATCGCTAGATAAGGAGCTTCGAAAGCTTTTGAAATTGTGGAAAAAAGATCTATTTCATTCAGACGTTCTCGAGAACCTTTAATTGCTATTACGTTCTGGTTGATTTCCATACAATGAATGGATTCATGAATAAAGGAGTATCAATCGTTGGACAGCTCGATGCGAAGGCAAACTGCCAATAATTCCGACGAATCCGAATCGTTCAGATGCAGAGAATCAATGCAAAGATCGTTAATACCGACATATTTATGCACATACGTTCCGAAGTAAACCGTTTCAAAGTCACTCATTTTTCTAATTTGTGAAGCAATTTTTGGATAATTCTACACACGCTAAGTAAGTAACAAAACGGTACTAAACGATCCTAGGTATTTACCTGTCGTTATTGTGCTAGCTATACGCGGCATTAACGATATCATCTAATGGTAGATGAAATTTACGATAACAATAAATCAACCAAACCACGTATTACATTCCAAAGTGATTATACTTATTTATTCCTACAAAATAGAGTTTTGGTATCTCAAAGACAGTTGACTTCAGAACAAATGTTCTCTAATGTTTCGTCGTTTCTTTTCACGAGCTCTATGAATCTGTACAGTCCCGTGTCTATAATTCTGAAACTTCTACGTGTATTAATTTAGGTTTAGATCCGAGGATAGCGAAAGCTAATCGAAAACAACAAATCTATGTCCTGTTAATCACAAGGTGTTATTGCTTAATGTTTTAAATCATTAGGGTGCTGATAAATGAGTTCAGACACAGTATTTTTTTTTGTTTCTGTTAATTATTAGACGAATACATTTGTCAATTTAAAACTGATAAAATAGAACGAAATATCGTCAAATATGTAAGATTCGATAATTCTTTTCAAATTTCCCGCCTCGTGACATAGATGAGTGTACAAAATGGACGAAACACGCTTACCCTAATTTTTGTTCTGCTCGCAATAAATCTGTTATTACCAATAAAGAAAAGAAACACCTTTGACGATTTAATAAAATTTGCTCGATTCACCGGTTGGGGAAACTCGATCAGTCTTGTCATTTTCGATATAAATAGTTGAAGGTGTTCCAACGCAATAATTGTTCGGGACATCGAGGGAAGGTTAGGCGGTAACAATTCCGCCATACCCGGAAGCACCCGTTATCGACATTCCCAAGAATTTATAATTCCCTCGGTGATGCAGTTGGTACGCGTGAAACGACACGATGAATGGCAGTTTGAACATCGATCCGGAGGTAACGATTCCTTTCATCGCGTCAATAACTTGGAGATAGAAAATGCTTACCGCTGTTTGCGAGGGATTGCGGCGCGGGAAATAACGAGAGAGAATGTCACGCGCTAACAAAACGTCGAGCCATCTTAAGATGCAAGAACATCAACTTTTTTATGGAATCTTTTGCTATCTGTCGATGATTTCGAACCAGTTTCTTTCGTAAATATTTGCGAAAATTACGAAACGTCGACTAAGAAATTCCCAAGTTTCTCAGTCTTAAGAAAACTCACGATATTTTTTATAAAAATTGTAATTTTACTTGATTCGAACTACTTTTTTGGAATTCCAGTATTTCAACGTTCTCGAAATCAAAACTACGATGAAAGACACTTTTGAATTTTATTATACAGAATACGGGCAGCTATAAAATATTTAATAAGAATTGAAATTATAGACTTTCCGGAGAATAATGTCCGTGTAAGTAGCGAAAGATCCAACGTTAATAATTTCCGAAATAAATACATACGTAATTATTTTAATGCCGTTCGGTGTATTCATAGTATCAAATGTGACCACTGCAACAGTTTACTATATTCATTTGTCGCATTTATGAACACGTGTATTAACTTCGCCTGAAACGGAACAATACCGCAAATTGCTTCCCATAAATTTCAAATTTTGAAACGTTTGGGAAACGAGGCTGTTTGTTTAATCTCGGAGTTGCGTAAAGATTAAAATTGTGCAATCCGCAGAGAAATCTGAATCGATGGATTGTAAATCCATTTATTACATTTCATGGTTACGAATATGCACGTTCGCCGCCCGTAAAACTATATTCATAAATTGTCCCGCGTACCTTCGAAATACTATATTTATTTACTACGTATACCGTAGTCTATAAACTTTGGATTCTGATTTTTGCATAACAAAGTATAATTCGCACGCAACTGGAACAAAGGTTCGATGGGTAACGAGAGCGGAGAGGAAAATTATTCGTTCCCGTTCGAATTAAACAATTTTTTCGTTCCATTTGCTACACGTGGCCGAGCATTATCTTGATGGGAAAAACATGTTTTCTGTCGAGCAAATTAAATCCGTATTTTTTTTTTTCAATGTTGCAATCGCACCAATTGATCGATCGATCGTGCTCCAGCAGCTCGAAATCGGTTATTCGAAATGACATAAACTATTGCGGAGAAAGTAAAATATCTTGAAAATTATCAAATTATCGACAATCCTTCTTCTTCTTGTCTTTCATACGTAAAATAACACGAGGAATCAATTTATAAAAAAACAAATTTTAATAAGGACAGAGTTCCAGTTATTACAACCACCCAGTGTAAACAAATGTGAGTTATATTCGATGTAAACAAATATTGCAAGAACCTGTGGGCCAACGAAATATTTTATAAAAACAAACAAAAAGAAATGTAATAAGCTCGTGTAAAAAGTGTCTAACAGCGTGTCATCGTTTGAAATTTGGTTTAACGAAAACGTTTCCCGCGTCGAGTTCGCGTAATGAGATTAAAATGCAACGAAAATGCGAGGCATTCGATTTATCTCCCGTTGATCAGGATCGCTTTAATCGAGCAACAACGTGATTGTACTGGTAATATCGCGCGGGGAATCGTGGCGCGCTGAAGAACTCCAAACTCAATTATCCGGTCTCTCTAATTAACACGTTATTCTGCCTTCCGTCGAGCTGTTAGCTTAGGGAGAATAAACGTCGCCCGAATTAGCTGAACAAATTTTTCTCGTCCCTCTCCCGTCTCTGGCATCCCTTAGTCTTCGAGGAGCTTCCATACAAGCTATCCGTGGCCTGGATCAGGAGACGAGGTGTCTGGAAATTCCATCGAGGCAAACTTTCTCGCCAGCATCGCGGAAAATTGCATTTTTAAGCGACAGCTCATTTACTAGTAATTAACTTGGCCGTGCATGTCTTTGACTTACGGAATCAATCTTTCCGTTTCGCGTTCAACGTTTTATCTTTCACCTCGAAGTTGGAATTGCATTTCCACGTTCTGTTTTTTTACCTCTCTGCCTACGGAACACGCGAACGCAATGAAAAGATTAACGGTCGACAAACGATACGAATTGCTTGTGTCAATTTCAATTTCGATGTTACTTTAAATGCATAAGACGGAAAGGAAATTGAATTTTTTATTGAAAATAGTATAATTATTTCTATTTATAGTTTGATAATTTGCCGACAAAGCGAGATGGCGTAACTGAATCGACTCGAATGTTTACTATAAACGCTTTACCCTTTAGGCGCGACCTTGCTGACTGTTTGTAAACACTTTCGTGGTATTGCGTGCGTCACTTCAGTCTAGTTTCTGGACGAGAACAGTACGTGTCTGACATTTCTAATACAGAGTTCCGCGATAGTTTGTATCGAAGGCGATAATGGCCGCACGAACGCGGAAACGAGCGTTTACCGAATAACTTTTATTTCAACGATTGGACGAACGAAACGTGTCATTACGTTGAAATTCCCAGCCGAGTAGGCTTGGAAAAATTCAATACCTATTACGTTCCGATATTACGCTTAGGGGAAAGCGATCCATTGTCAGTTTAGGGAGATTCAATTGGTTACAATGGTTCTGACAAGAATCCAATTCCAGCATAACGTGTGACGCGTTCTTCGTCTTGCCAATTCAGGAAATTCGATATTGAGAAGTATTACTTGATATGAATGCCAATAAGATTTCAATAACTAAATTATTCAATCTAGAACTGTCATTATGATATAAATTGATGTTGACTAGAATAATCGAGATTCGTACGAGAAATTCATACAGGATAGACGATATTTTATCCTCTTCAGGGACGAATTATTTCATTCGATATAAGCAACATTTCAAACCGTGATATAGACATTA